TCGGATTTGGACGCTTCCCGTCAGGATTTGGATTGGCTGGTGCATGTTGGTGTTGTTCGAATTGTTGATAAATTGATTGAGCACCCGGACTTTACTAACGCGATAAGTCTCATCCGGCATGCTGCTTTTATGGCTGGGGTTGAGTCTGTTCAGAAAACCTCTGCTAGTGCTGGTGGTGGAGATGTCGGTGTTGATGCCGCTTCTGTCGGTCCTGTGGTTAGTGTGAACGATGCTTTGTTATCTTTTGCCAGTATGGATCATGCGTCCTTGTTGGGTCTGGGTGAATTGGGTGTTGGAGGTCTCCGAGAGTTGTGCTCGTTTGCTGGTTCAGAGGGTACTCCGAAAAGTGCAATGGGTCAGGGTATTGTGCCGGTGGCTGAGGTCGATGCTGGGAAGGGTAACGAGGGTGGTGATGGTGATCTTGGAGAAGGTGAGGTGGCTGTTGTGGGAAACGAAGTCACATGTGGCGAGGATGATGTTGTTGAAGATGCTCCGGCATCGTGTGCTACCCCTCTTGGGGCGTGAAAATTTCTTTGCATGTTTTAGTTTCTGTCTTGTATGTTTCTTTTGATGGCCATGTGGTGCCTTTAGTTTGTATAACGTATGGGCTTTTGAACAATATTCTCTGTTTTATGTGTGTAATCACGAATTTGTTTGTTGCTTACTCTCTTATATATATATATATATATATATATATATATATATATATATATATATATATTTTTTGAAAAGAACATAGCGCTCTGATGTGCTAGGCGTTCTGCTTCGCCTATGTCATTGTCGATACGCTAAGTATCGGTACTGGGTGCTCTTAGTACCCAACAAATGGATCTCTACATGCACATTTTCAATCGTTAAGAGTTAATACACTAAGTATTAAAGATTAGCATTTGAATAATCCCATTACATTAACCATGGACTACAAATACACTAAGTATGAAACTCATGTCACTAAGCATGGACTTGTGTACACTAAGTACTTGGGATGTGCCGCACTAAGCAGCGTATCGATCGACTGGGATTATACTTTTCTCTTTTCAAAAGAAAAACTTTTTCAAGTTCCTGGCGTTCCACGTTCTTAGAATCTGCTTTCCTTCCATCGTTTCTAAGGCATACACGCCATTCCATTTTGTTTCCGTGACTTTGTAAGGGCCTTCCCACGCTGGGACTAGTTTGCCTTGGGGTTGGGCTCGACTTGCTTCGTTTTTCCTTAGAACATTCCAGACTCGTACTGAGGGCTCGATGGTATTCCAGATACGAGCTGAGGGCCCGATAGGCATTCCAGACTCGTACTGAGGACCCAGTGGTAATCCAGCTTGTAAAGCTGTGGACCCATTGCATGTTGTTCTGTTCAGTTTGTTATGATATGTCATGGTGTGACATGGTTACGTGGACTGTATGTGTATCGGTATTTTGGGGGTAACTCACTAAGCTCTCGGGCTTACATTTTCAGTTTATTGTTTCAGGTACATCGGGGGATCGCGGCAAGGCAAAGGCATGATCGTACAACTCCTCCTATTATGTTTATGTTTCTGGGAATACTCTGATAAAAATGTATTTTGAAAACAAAGTTGTAATGTTATGATGAACTTGACATGTTTTGAAAGTTTAAATTGGTTCGAAATTTTTGGGTGTTACATAGCGTGTTATGATGTTATGTGATCGTAGCAGTAGGGGGAGATAGTCCCCAAGTTACCTGCCGATAGGGCCGAAGGGGTAGTTTAGTACCCAACTATGCTAGACAGATTATGATTATATGATAATATGTGGTAGTAGTAAGGGTGAGATAATCCCCCGAGACCGGTCGAGAGGACCGAAGGGGTAGGCCAACACCCTGATATGCTAGGCAAGGTCACCGGTCGAGAGGACCGAAGGGGTAGGTCGGGCACCCAGATATGCCTGGCAGTATGTATGTAATGTGATTGTATGGTATGTGGTATGATGGGGGAACTCACTAAGCTTCGTGCTTACAGTTTTCAGTTTTGTTTCAGGTACCTCTTCAGCGAAGGGGAAGGAGTCGGCGCGGTAGCGGCACATCACACACACGCAAGATTTCCGCACTATGAGATTTCTTGGGATTGTACTCTGACATTGTTACTATTTTTATGATATGATTTTGAGACATGAGATTATGGTTTTATGAAATGATATGACTCAATGATGTTTTCTTATAAATGTTTTCTAAATTGTTATATCAAAAATGAAATTTTTGGTCTTGAAATTTGGGATGTTACAGAAACTCTTCATTTATTATCCCTTTATTCATTTTTTATTCAACAAAAATGAATAAAAACTTCAATCGGCGACCATCACCACTTGATTTGAAGAAGACGCCTAGTTCTCCATTATGAAGATTTTTAGGTATGAGATATTTAAATATTGAAGGATGCTTCATACTCTAACCAATTGATGTTTGCTGTGAAATCCAAGATTAGAGATTTTCCTTATTCCTTTATTTAGTGTTTAATCTCTTAATAAAATATCACTTAAGTCTATTGTATAATATTGATATTGATTATCAATATTTTGAAATAACATATTCAAACATAACTAATTATTATGAATAATTCTTTTGTCCATTGGTAGAACAAAGCTAAATTAACTAGCATCATTTAAAAATGTCACAGGAGGGACACCCTCCAGTTTTGGTTTATAAAAAAATTTATAATTTTTTCAAGTTATATGGAAATGAGGATTTGTAATTTAATATTACAAGTTTTATTATTATTACAGGTCTATCACATGTAATTGTATTTTATTATCACATACTTTTTTATGGGTTTAGGTTTTAAAGAGGCCATCATTTATGTAGAATCGAGTTCAATAAGATACAAACACATACAATGAATGTTATTTCAAAGCTGCAAATTCTTTCAAAATGAGCTAACACAATATTCTTTTAGAACGAGGTTAGTAACACATTGATTTGATGCCTATTATTCTGACAAACATGGTAAATGACAGTGTAAGAATTGATTGAAAACCTTTCAGAAAAGCATCATGAGACAAGGAATACATTCTATGCTAAATTTTACTATTTTTTCTATTAACAAAAATTTCAAGATTGTTAAATTGCAAATCGTTATTTTGTTAAGTTTTATCATCTAGAAATACAATTTCAAGTTGCAAGTAACAAGTTTTTAATTTTTTATAGTGTCAATTAAAGTTACAACTAATAAAAATGTATTCTATGTATTTTGTTAGAATGTATTCTATGTATTCTGCTAGAATGTATTCTATGTATTTTGTCATGCTCTATGTACTCTATCAGAAGATATAAAGTGATAACATGTTCTTAACCATTCTTAGTTTTTGTTGTATTTATGATAGGATGGCTGGAAGAATATGTTGAAGACCTGATAGGAATAACTTGAAGAATGCATAATAGATTGATTACACTCAAAGTTAAAGAATATTGTTATTTTTTAAGAATTTTATTCATTTTTGTTGATATTCTTTTGGAATATGTATAATTATATTAAAATGTATAAGACTATTAGTCTGTAAAAATATGTATGTATTTGTATTTAAGTTCAGATATATAAGAATATATTAGAATGTTGTTATTCTTCAACCAGGAATTCAAGAATCTGTGATTCTACAATAATACTCTAATAGAATAAAAGTATGAAAGAACATCGTTATAACAAAAAACATTCTGATGGAATAAAATCGGTTATTTTTATATTACGTTAGAATTAAATTGAATTAATTTAAAATTTCAGATTTTTAAAATTAGGAGAATTAACTATCCCTAAAAATCCAAAATTTCCTTTTTAAAATATAGTTAATTGTCCAAAGTACCCTTATGTTGAAATTTGTGCGATTATATGGTGCATGTTACCCTATTGTAATATCATAGACTCTCAGATCATGAACTTTGATTCTATTCCATCCGGTGGTCCAGATTTATGCATACGAGCACACAATAGTTAGCAAAAAACAAAATAACCTAAGTATATATATATATATATATATATATATATATATATATATATATATATATATATATATAAATGAAATCGTATATTTCAACTGTTAATTGTGTTTAGTGTTTACGGTTTTATTAACATTATATTAGTCATTGGTCGTATTAGTCAATAGTTATTACTACGTTAAAGCACAAAATTAAAACATTATTTTAGTGTTATTTTAGTAGAATTCTTTTGTAAACTAAAAGAACTACCTAACTAATTTTATACTAACCAATGACTTCCAACCTAGCTGGGAAGAGGTACCGGGTTTAATACCCACGTGGGGTCAGAGGTCGGGAGTTCAATCCCTGCAAAACCCAATTTGGGTGCCTCTTAAACTTGTGCCACATGTGGGGAAATTTTCCCTAGAAACCCCTATGGGGGCTGGGTTTGCCCTGTAAAGGAGCTCGAACCCGGGGTGCTCGTTGAAATATGCGAGTAGGCTTCCGTTTAATTATTTGCCGTTTCCAAAAAAAACTAATTTTATACTAAACATCAAAATCCCGATGTCTTTGCTTGTTTTTAAATCTTACAATAGAAAATTAAAAGAAGTTGGTATATACCATTACCAATTTATACCAACCAAACTTGTTGGTAGCCAAATAAATTGGTACCAAGTATAATTGGTACCGTACCGATAATAATTTTTTTATATCAATTATAGTTGGTACGGTACACGGTTTAGAGAAAAATGAATTGGTACCGTATCAATTCCACCTCAAATAAATAATTCATTGAATTATTTAATTTCGTTACATAATTGTTTTAACTCTTTTGAATAATAAATAAATAAGTATTTTTATTTATTTTTAATAAATAAAATATTTTATTCATTTTTTGTTTAATAAATCTTTTAATTAAAATATTTATTTGATTGAACAATATAAATGATATTTAAAAAGGATATACATATTATTTTACATGCATAAAGGCTTACAAACATGACGTTTTAATAGTAGTACTCATCATGCAAGTTTTGACAAACCACAAGGACCAATTGTGTAATTTTGTCTTAATCCTTTTATCTGCCGTTCAAATCGATTTCCGTCTCCTCCCCGTCCACCGGATCTTTTCCCCAGGAATCACAATATCCAGATCGGTCCGATCGCTATTTTCTAGAGCGAGAAAGGGGAAGTTAGGAGAGAGAATGTTCAAATTCTTGAAAGATGTCGTCGCCGGATCTGTTGCCGGCGTCAAAGATCTTCCTTACAACATCGGGGAACCTTATTCTTCCGCTTGGGGATCTTGGATTCACTCTCGCGGCACCTCTAAGGTAACATAGAAACATAAATGCTTGTACATGTATGTATAAATATCTGGACTGATGTTAATACAATAATATGCTTATTGCTTGCACCTTCGTGTTTTTTATCCGTTTTATCTTATCAAATTGTGTGATCAAATGCTTGAATTCAATTTGGCGTTGTTGTGTGATACTCTTCGTCGATGGCCTGTGCAAATTTCGAAATCTAGTAGGATCGATTGATTGCAATTCCAATTCGTTAGGTTTATTGAATCATCTTGCTTCAGTATCATGAATTTCGTTAAGGATCTAAGTTGATGCTCTATTTAGCTGGATTCTACATTCGTACATCAATCAAAAGTTCTTATTAGTGTGAGATTTATAAGTTATTGCATAATGTAGTCTAGAGTAGCTTGAGAAAGAGCTTAACATGGTTGGATTAGGATCAAAGGGATGCTATCTACAAACAGTATCACATCATGTAGTTAAGTAGATATTCAGTGTACATGAAATGCTTGAAGGGATTGGGTATAACTGTGATTTTGTTTCACCAGGTGGATGGATCCCCTGTATCAATATTTTCACTTACAGGAAGTAATTCTGGTGATGGACGTTTAGCTGCTGGACGCAATGGTGTCAAAAGGCTTCGAACAGTGAGTTATTTATCAAGATCTAGATTTGTTGAGCTTCTTGTTAGTATATATTTGTTGGAATTGGAATAAATATATAATTTTTTTATTTCAGGTGAGGCATCCAAACATTTTATCATTTCTTCATAGTACAGAGGATGAAATAATTGATGGATCATCAACAAAAGTCACAATATATATAGTCACAGAACCTGTTATGCCACTAGCAGAAAAAATGAAGGAATTAGCATTACAAGGTACACAAAGGTACATAGGCTCATTTCTAGTCAATCTTTTTGTCCTTTTATGCTGAAATGACAACAAGAAACATGAAACTTTCTCTTTTTTTAATCCATCAATGCTATTGTTATATGTTATGTAATTCTTCAATTCATTATAACATCAGAGATGAATACTATGCGTGGGGCCTACACCGGATTGCAAAAGCTGTGAGCTTCCTGAATAATGATTGTGGACTTGTGAGTAGTACTATTGTTGACATTTTTTATTTTAACATTTATAACCAATTCCAATTGAGAAATAACATTTTTTTTTTGTTTGTTTGTAAAGGTCCATGGTAATGTTTGTTTGGAAAGTGTGGTTGTTACTCAAACTTTGGACTGGAAATTACATGCTTTTGATGTTCTTTCTGAGCTTGATGGGAACAATGAAGCAGCTTCAGGACCAATGCTGGTAGTTACATCATGACTTTTTATATTTAATTATTTTCCATTTCTAATAAATGAATTTTTAAATTCTTTTATTCATTCACCCAGCAATATGATTGGCTTGTTGGCACACAATACAAACCAGTGGAGTTGGCAAAATCAGACTGGACTTCTATCAGAAAATCTCCACCATGGGCCATTGATTCTTGGGGTTTAGGTCAGCTTTTAATTTTATGCCTCATTTTTTTAAACCATGATATTTTCTTTTGGGTTAAATTTCATAAATGGGTTACAAAAAAAAACCATTTTTTATGAAAAAAATACAAAGTTCCAGTTACTTTTGTAAAACAATGATATTAAGCCTTTTTTTTTACTATAACTAATTTTAAAACAAATCTGACACTGTTTTTTTTTTTTCTTTTTTCTCATTAGGGTGTCTGATTTATGAGATATTTTCGGGTTTAAAAATAAGCAAAACTGAGGAGCTACGCAATACATCATCATTACCAAAGGTCAGCATGCCTTTATAGCTGATGTGGCGGTAACTTCTTGATGTTTTTTTAAATTAATTTTATTATTTAATGTTTTTAAAGTCATTTCCACAGAAAATTCATTTTTGATTTTCTTTCCTTTTTGTAGTCTCTTCTTCCAGATTATCAACGCCTCTTGAGTTCTACACCTTCCCGTAGATTAAATTCATCAAAGCTTGTGGAGAATTGTGGTTTGTTTTGTTCCCTTATATTTTAATCCTATATTTTTTTTTCTGCAACTTGTTTTTACTTTTTTGTCCTTGTTATGTTTCAGAATATTTTCAAAACAAGTTGTTGGACACTATCCATTTTATGGAAATACTTAATTTGAAAGACAGTGTTGAGAAGGATACATTCTTCCGGAAGCTTCCAACTCTAACAGAGCAGTTGCCTCGTGAAATTGTCCTAAAAAAGGTATTATATTATTTTCAACTATTTTAATTTTTTATTTAATTTATATTTGAATTTGCACTTTTGCAGATACTTCCATTACTTGGTTCTTCCTTAGAATTTGGTTCAGCTGCTGCTCCTGCTTTGATTCCATTTTTGAAAATTGGTTCTTGGCTTTCACCAGAAGAGTTCAACATTAAGGTAATAAATAATTAAATATAAAATACTCTTCCATTATACATATCCTTTTTTTATATGTCGTATTTTATTTATTTATTTATTTTTTTAAATTTAGGTTCTACCAACGTTAGTGAAACTTTTTGCCTCCACTGATCGAGCTATTAGAGTTGGTCTCTTGCAACATATTGATCAATTTGGGGAGTCATTTACTGCTCAAATTGTTGATGAGCAAGTAAGAATCAGATAGTCTACTTTTTTAGAATGACCATTTTACCCTCATATTTTTTGTTCTGTTTATTACCAGGTTTACCCTCATATAGCCACTGGATTTTCAGACACTTCTGCCTTTCTTCGTGAATTGACTCTTAAGTCCATGCTTGTTCTTGCTCCAAAGGTGTCTTTTATTTGTCCTTTTTTCCATTTTATTTTTTTGTTCAGTTTATTTATTTGTTTTATTATTTTAAATTGCAGTTATCTCAGCGCACTATATCAGGGTCACTTTTGAAATATCTTTCAAAGCTCCAGGTAATGAGATTTTCTTAGTTTTTATACCATTTTACTATTTGAATTTATTTTAAATATTTACTTACACAGGTGGATGAAGAACCAGCAATCAGAACAAACACCACCATACTACTTGGGAATTTGGCTACTCACCTTAATGAAGGGGTTAGTAAAGTTTTCCATAAATAAAAAGAAAAATAAAAATTCCTGAATACATATACAAGAAATATAAATAATTGCAACTAATACATTCATTGGTTATATTTATATTATATTGCAGACACGAAAAAGAGTTTTGATTAATGCATTCACTGTTCGTGCTTTGCGGGATACATTTCCTCCTGCTAGAGGAGCAGGTAAAATCATATATATATATATATATATATATATATATATATATATATATATATATATTTTAAAATTTTCTTCAAAGTGATTAAAGTTTGTTAATTGTTTTATTTTGAAAACATTTTATTAAGTTTGATAAATTAAACATTTTGATTGGTGGCAGGTGTAATGGCTTTATCTGCTACTAGTTCTTATTATGATGCCCAGGAGATTGCTGTTCGTATTTTGCCCAATGTTGTTGTACTTACCATAGATCCTGACAGGTTATTATTATTATTACTTTCCATAACCCAATTATTTTTAATTTTAGCAACTTTGACCGATATTTGACTTATTTTTGCTATAGTGATGTTCGATCAAAGGCTTTCCAAGCAGTTGAACAGTTTTTGCAAATAGTGAAGCAGTATCATGAAAAGGTGTGTTTTGCTACATTTGTTAAGAGTTTTAAATAAGTTGTTGGATAAATGCAGAATTATAACAATGGTTGCTTTTTTGATATATTTTTTTGTAGGTAAGTAATGGAGATAACAGTGAGCTTACAGGCTCAGGAATTTCATCACTTCCAGGAAATTCAAGTATACTAGGGTATGTATAATGTATTTGTATGATAGAAAAAAGAAGAGAAAAATAATTATATAGTTATAAATAAAATGTAATGCAGATGGGCTATGAGCTCTTTATCTATGAAAGGAAAACCATCTGATTCTGAACATACTCATACTCCACATCTGTCTGCAAGTTCCAGTGCTCCTAACATTTCCAACATGCCCAATGCCACCTCAGGTACACCCACCCTTTTATTATTATTATGACATTTTTTTTAACAATCAAATAAAATTTATATGTTGGTATTTATTTACAATAGTGGTAGCGGATGTGCAAAGTGCAACAATGGTGAGGGCATGTTCGACTGCTGACATAGTGGATCATCATCATCATAATCATAATCATAATCATGAAGCTGCTGCACCTGTGTCAACTATGTCCATTAATGATGGATGGGGTGAAATTGAAAATGAAAATAATGTTATTGAAGATGAAGAGAAAAACGGTTGGGATGATTTTTTACCACTTGAAGACATAAATCCTCCCCCTGCTCTTTCCTCCTCCATCCAAGCTGCTCAAAAACGACCCCTTCATACAAAACCACAAGGTAATAATATTAAGAAACTGAAATTGTTTAAATTGTAAAATGTAAATGTTAATGATGATATGTGTGTAAACAACATAAACAGTTCCAAATATGAGAGGGAAACATGCCACGAGTGTGAGCAAAAATGAAGATGAAGATTTATGGGGCTCAGTTTCTGGGCATCCGCCGAAAGCAGCTTCAGCTTCTACAAAGAAAGCAGCGGTTGATAACGATGACGACCCATGGGCGGCAATTGCAGCACCACCACCAACCACCAGAGCAAAGCCTTTAGCCGCCGCTTCTGGAAGAGGCCGGTCATCTAAACCTGCTTTACCAAAACTGGGTGCTCAAAGGATAAACAGAACATCTTCGTCTGGAGTATAGGGAAAACAGAAAGGTATATCATATATGTATATTAGACTATTAGTCTTATAATTTACTAATTCTTTGGTTTTGGTTTTGATTATGTTTTAGAATAATTAGATGAGTGCAGTTTTTTAAGTTTTAATTTACTATTTTACTTTGTAAAACTATTTTTTCTCCATTCTTTTCAACCAAACTGTGTGCCATTATTTTATATCCTATTTACAAAGCATTCATATAAATATTACTTAATTTTGCTTCGTTGTTTTAATGAGCTTTGTGAGTTGAGGCTTGAGTGTGTAATTTAGATAACTATACATGGTTGTTTCTTTCTTACTAAATTTAGTCATACAAGGAATTTAAGACATCGACCTTTTTTACTATTTGTCATTCTTTTATTTTTCCACCCAACTCATCTCATGTTAACAATTAACATTGATAAATTATATTAAAATTCATGAATATTATGAAAATTATTTATTGGAGTGTAAAACTAAAAAATGATAGTCTGAGCATTCTACAATACGAGTTTTTTTTTTTTTTTTTCAAACCATTAAGTTTTTAAAAATAAAAAATAGACAACTAATAAAAACAACAGTAAAATGAAAATTTAAAATAACGGGCCCCATAAATAATCCAATTGGAAAAACCTTCCTCTTGTAGAGGTAAAATAAGCTTTTTATTAAAAAAACAAAAATCGTGAAAAAAGTTGTACTATTGTGGATGATCTTTAGTCCATTCAAAAAACTTATCCTATAATGTATAAGACTATTATGTGCAGACAACATGTTATTACATGTTACCACACCAAAAAGGTGTCATGTCAGCATCCTACTCATACATGAGTGTTATAACACCCAAGGTGGAAATGGGCAACATCTAATAACATGTGATAACACCAATTATTTTCTATTTTACCTTTTTACTTTCTTTTTGATGTTTTTTTTTCTATATTTCGAATTTGTTTTTTTATTTATTTATATCATAATGATTATATTTATCATATAACTTAAATCATAAATAAAAAATAACATTTGAAAAGTAAAAATAAAATTTTAATAAATCTTAAATTAAAAACAACATTAAAAAAATTACAACAAAACACAAAAACATTTAAAAACCTAAAAAAAAAAAAAAAGATGATAAAACCTACAGTTTTTGGCCTAAAACTATTTATCTTCATCTTCGTGACCAACATAGATGTAATCCGTCAAGTCTTCACGGAGTTGCTTGTGTTTTTGCTGATCTTGAATATCAACCACTCTATGTAAATATTCCGATGTCCTTGTTTGAAATTGCACATGTCTTGGTTCCGTAGGCGAATACGTTGCAATATTGCGTCCTTTATCTTCGACAACCATGTTATGCATTATGATACATGCATACATGATATATCGTAGAGTATCTAACTCATAAGGTCTCGCCGCATGTTCAACTATGTGCCATTTTGATTTCAAAAACCCAAAAGCACGTTCAACGTCCTTACGTGCTCCTTCTTGTCGTCTCTTGAAATATTTGTCTCTTGGGTCTATTGGGTGTCAAAACGCCTTCACGAAAGTGGAAGATTGTGGATATATTCCATCTGTAAGGTAATACCCAAACTTATATTCATTTCCATTCACTGTGAAAGGAGCATCCGGGGCTTTTCCTGATAAAAGATCGTTAAATATTGGTGATTGATCGAGAACGTTGACGTCGTTGTTAGAACCCGCAACCCCGAAAAAAGCATGCCAAATCCATAAATCTTGTGAAGCAACAGCCTCTAATACCAGCGAAGGCGCTCCATGATGATCGCTCGAATACTGGCCTTTCCACGCTACAAGACAATTTCTCCATTTCCAGTGTGTGCAGTCAATGCTCCCAAGCATACCTGAAAAAGCATGTCTTTCTTCATGCGCCGCATATAGTTGTTGCATATCATGCAACGAAGGTTTGCGCAAGTATTGGTCACCGAAGGTTTCGACAACACCTCTTGCCAATAAATACAAACTTTCTCGTGTGGTCCTCTCAGACATTCTCATATAATCGTCAACAAAATCGGGCGACTCCCCCATTGTCATAAGTTTAACTACAACAACACATTTCTGCAACCCTTGAAGCCTCGTTTACCTCTGGCATCATATCTCAATTGGAAAAATTCATACCTAAATATATATATTTAACATGTAAAAATTGTATTTATTGTATCTAAAAGTGACATTTATAAATTAGAAAAGTTGAAACAAACGTTAACTAAATATATATTAAACATGTAAATTTTGTATTTATTTTATCCAAAAGTGACATTTTATAAATTATAAAAGTTGAAACAACCGATACCTTGCTTCCATGGCGCTGGCTATCCTTTCAAACACATTTTTTCGCAAACAAAACCTTCTTTTGAAATCGCTTGGCTGATAGACACAATTTTCTGCAAAGTAATCGTTAACTAGCCGTCTATGCCATTCCTCACGATCTCTATTTAACGCCGCACGTCGCATGAGTAGTGGAGTTGGATCTCGCAGTAGTTTTCTGTCTGTATAATACCGGTACATCATACTCACGAACATATCGTCTTCGTCGTTATCATCGTTGTACGGATGAGCCGGATCAAAACGATCCATATTTTGGTTTTGAATTATTGAAAAAGTATGTAGTTAAGAGAAATTTATGTTTTGTAGTTAAAATTGATATAAATTGTATGTATTTATAGTGTAAATAAAATTTGTTTTTTTTTTTTTAATAAGTGACCGTTTAAAAACGGTCGAAATTGTGACCGTTTAAAGCAAAAAGATGTGAAATAACCGGCGTTACCTCCCGTGTTCACGATAACGTAATGTAACATAACACCTAATAAAGACTAGGGGGCGGTGTTCCACCCGTTATGACGCCGTTATTAGGCTGACACATCAGATAACGCCCTTATGGTGTTGCCCACACCCGTCTCTCTAAAAGAAATTAGACCTTTTAAGTACATAGCATTTTATACACACAATTCTGTAGCCCATTAAACAAAAAGTTTTTCAATAATCTTATATATAGGCAACTAATTAAACTAATATGTCTATAATAATCAATAATACTCCATGGATATTGGGTCCTTAGAATTAAAAGCAGAATAAAATGTTCCCTTATGGAAACGCAATACCACCTTAATAATATCTTCTTCCAGAAACTCCCAAATTTTTTAACAACATATTCCAAAATGTCCCAAAATCTTTTGATAAATCCAAAAGTAAAACTGTGCCGACACGACACATTATCCACCCCACAATCCCATATGGCCTTCAAGATAACATTCTATAATTCCTTATATATGTATTTTTTTAAATTACATTGAATAAATTTATACGTCGAATGGAACTTGAGTTCACTTTTGCAAATAGCAAATCGTATTTACGCAATAAATAATCGTTTTTTTTAAACGACATGTCACTCTAATATTGCAGCCTGTAAGATTTTCGAATCCTGGACATCTTCATTTTAAAATGCTGAATTTACAAATGATCACAGCTATGTCATTTGAATGGTGGTACTTAATAAATCACTTATAACATCAAATTTATATTTTAACTCTTTCAGACAATAGTTATGAGTAAATCCAAATCCCCATTAAGAAATTGCATTTATTGTACTACAATATGCACACTATGATACAGGGATGAGTAAATACATTTATTGTACTACAATATGCAATAAGGTTATGTGACTACATTCATTGACACATAACCAATTACTTACATTAGAGTAACATTACTAACTACATTCATGTACCCATTAACCCTTAATAAGATACAATCATACAACCATCTAAAATCTATTCACTACCTACAAACCATAATTCCTACAAAGTTTGTTCATTTAAACAAACTCATAACAATATTTATTTTAAATTTTTTAATAATCAAACTTACAAAACACAGCATCATCAAACTTTAAATCATCCATCGAAGAACCATGATCGAAAATGTCATTCCACGTAGCAATGGATGATTGGCCATAATTACTAGAGGTAATATGTTCATCACTCTGTACATTAGAATCATCTTCTTGATCCAATGAGGGGGTGTTATGAACATTTGTGATAGTTGAGGGGCTGCTTGGTAAATTGTTGGTGCTCGAGTCCTTAAAGTTATGTAGAAAAAAACTTAGAGCCCCAGAGTCCGAAAACATGTGTGTGTTTTTATTCATATTTTGGCACGTGTGATTCCCATAATATGTAATATGAAACATTTGTGATCCATCTTCCAATTTTTGAACTTGTCTTAACGCTTTGCACCCCTCGTTTTTGTGTGTGCATCTAAAATAGCACCTGCATAAAAAGGTTTTCATATAAGGACAAAATAGATAAAATTTTAATTGATTTTAGAGCATCTCAACTCTCAAGTGTAGCTTTTTTTATAGGCTTTATTATTTGAATAAATTTTTGTATAGTTTTTCATCAGTGGAGAAGAAAGAATTTTTTTGGAGGTTTATTTATGAGATCTATTAATTTTACTTATAAATTATTTTATTGTTGTTTGTATAAGTTATTTATTTATAATCGATTAAAAATATATACGTTTTCAATTTTCAATACGTTTTTGGTTTAAAAAACAAAACTTAAATTATATTTTGCTGCATATATTATAAAGTATAAACATTATATTTAGTTTTAAAAGTAATCCAAATTATACACAAGAGTCCAAGACTACCTTTCGGATTCAAGTCAGACACATAAATATACATGATGTACAACTGTCTGATGGGCAGGTTGTCCTTTTATTAGTTTCTTTTAACAATTATTATAAGACAAAAATATAAGTAAATATTATTTAATGTCATTTTTTTTTAATTTAGAAAACAATCATTTATTCAATTATAAATTTCTAAGCTTTTAGAAGTAAATATAAATTAAGTTTTTAAAAATAAAATTAACACAATGAAAATTATGATATACAGATTTTTAAAAATATGAACACAAATTCCCTCAAAGTTTCACTATCATTTCTTATTTTTCTTGGTTTTTAGAATATAATTAAAATAAATTATGTAATGTAATAAATATAAATGAGTGGGACCTTGGAAATTTAGCATTGAGGATCTCCTTCTGTCCATATTTCCTCCATGCATAACCATCTTCAATCGTGTCAACAATTTTAACTCTTGAATCTTCGGTTTTTCTGCAATTTCATAATCAAATCTTTCAAAAGTTGTACTTCATGCAACAACGCTTGTACGTTTGTGCATTAGAACTTGTACACTTCTTCCAAGTATCCGATAAAATTGCTCATCGAGTGAAATATTGTTGAATTACTCAAAAATGTACATAACTTCAAACCTTTTATTAAAACCTCAAAAAGGTTGTAGTAATTTGTATTATAAAAAAGTTAAAATATATTAATAAAAAAATTACGTAAATGTTTAAAAACACTTTGTGCATAAAATATGTACAACTAAACGAATTAAAAATGTGGGATTAATTACATAAACTAATTAGTTAAAATTCAGAAAATCGTTGGTAAAAGAAACTATATACCGTCTCTTGTAACATCCTCTCCGGTCCTTCACAGCCGGCGCCGGCTTCTTCTCACTTTCGCCTGAGTCACACGTACGGTCGCCGGAACAAGCGGAGCCGACGTACATACTCACCGGAACCGGGCATAACACGGCGGATCCGCAAGAACTCAACACCGAAAGGCTGTCGGAGAAAGATCCCAGTATTTTCATCACAAGATCATCAGCTGAAACCGACCCATCATCATCGTCAACTTTCCGGCGAAGCAGATTCTGAAGCTTTTTGGTAGAATCTCTGCCTTTAATCAGCTCTGCGATCAATCTTTTCTTGTTGGGTGATGATGTTTCCTCCATTTGAGATGAAGATACAGTTACAGATGTGAATTATTTGTGCTTAAAATCAAGGATATTTTATGAGTTCTTGATTCCAATTTCCACACAGTTAAGTCGGTGTGTGAGTGAGTAAGTATTATAGTTGGGTTAGGATGTGGATGTGTGTGATAAAAGGAAGGTGAGGAGAAGCAGCTTAATAATTTCTGAGAAATTTCGAAGGTAAAAAAAAGGAAACAAGGGAATTCGAGGGTGACGTCATTGGCAGTGACGTCATCTTCCATGCTTATCATCAGACCCTACTCTACTTTAGGTAATGTTTTCTTAACTGTATTTTAATGAATAGAACAAACCCCATCGTGGCGTCTCGTCGGTTTTTTGTTCAATTTCTTATAAATAACTACTTAATGTAAACCCTATGATCTTAGGGAGCTGATTATTCCACAAAAAATTTTGATTTTTCCACTGAAATTAATAATGTAATGACAACTATGCCATTATTATATAGATGGTGGATTTTAAATCCTTTTCGTTGTTGTTTTTCGTAAGCCAAATTATGCCAAAAATAATGAATTGCACCCATATGCAATTACATGGAGTATGGGTAAAACCATATGCGATTATAACTATATCAAATTATGATTATGCTGTACCTACTAATATGAAACTATATGAGTTGAGGAACCATGAAAATATTCAAGGTGTAGCATATGTGATTTTGGCCGTAGTACGTCAGAATATTTTATAAAATTTTTACCTTACAAAAAATTTAAGAAGTAACACCGGCCACTCCTACTCCTGGAACCCCTTTAGTTCTGACCGTGAACTATATAGTTAATGTAAATAGAATAATTAATTTCATCGCACGAGACCCTTCAAGATTTGAGCTTATGAAATCATCACAAATACAAAAAACTTCAAGTTCTACCCGTGTCTTCTAAATGCACAATTTAGCAACTAACTTGAGAACAACTTATTTGATTTAAATGCATAATCTAACTTTTTCAAATGATAGATATTGGTTATACGTTAAATGGTTGATTGTGTAATGTGTCTATAACCTCTTTAAAATAATCGGTGGTGTAAGAATGACAAAAAGATATTAAATATTAATTAATGAGGGATTTATCATTAAAAAAAATGGTAGTGTAACAATAAAGGTTGAACAAATGATAAAAATGGTGGGGGTATAACTTTACGAAGATGCAGCAACCCAAAGGAATTAAAATCCACTCTATATTTAGATAGGGATATAGTTGTCATTACATCGTTAATTTTAGTGGATTAATCAAATTCTTTCGTTGAAGAATCAGGCCCATTATATAAGGGTTAATTATGTAAAACACCTAAAAAAATACTAATATTTTTTCAAAATAGCTACATGAAATCCTTTAATGGTGCTTGTCCTAGCATATTTGAGGGCAAAAAACAAGGCCTCCATATCACCAAAATATATAGTTAAATTATCAATATTTTAACATGGGAAAAAGGCCTCATAACTTAAAAAGTACATATAGATACTTAATGAGTAAGGGAACTTGTTCATCCAATAAAACAGAGTAATCTTGAGTATGTTCAAATTTTAATGCAGCTCAAAACCTGATAGTAATTTGTTTTAGTCAATTTTATTAAACAAATTATAAACATATACAAAATGCAACTCATTTTCTTTTTGCATGTAGAGGGTCATGTAAAAGGGTACTTCATAAAACACATTGTATATGTGTATAAATGTGTATAGTGCACATTTTGCTACGTTTATGTCAATTTCTCAATTTTATATAATGCAACTCTCTATTTTGTAAAATATCATTTTCATCATTTATTTTACTAAACTTTTTTATAAAATGCATTTTTATCCCTCTATTTTTTAAAATATTACTTTGACCCCCTCAACTTTGAACTCTGTAAATGTCATTCTTACCATCTCCATTTCTAAATTTTCGTGTTTATTTCCAATAATGTATATAATATGATTTTCTTTAATAATTTTCATTCGTTAAATGTCGCTTTTTTTTATGTACGTGACGATATAAATTTGAGTTTATTTACATTTCGACATAAATTTTGTGTATGTTTACGTGTTTTTATTATCTAAGTTGTAGTGGCGGCACACTTCTTTTTGTCGATCTTTAGTCCTTGCATTTTGGTTGTTGTTATTTTTAGTCTTTGCTTTTTATACCATTCTTTTTTGGTCTATGTAGTGGTCACTATATTTTTAGGGATTATTCAAAAACCATTAAACTTACAAAAATAGTCCACAAACTCTTCTCAACTTTTGATAAATCACCCAACACTTATTTCTTTTAAACTTTTAGTGTTTTTGGAAGCTGTGATATGATATATTGGTTTAATCAGTTATCATGCCTAATACGCCTGAAAAACACGTAACAACATGCAGCAAAGCACACACTCAAATACTAGTAGTATTGTTAATATTTAGTAGCAACTAATTATAACTAATTATATCATATTGATGGTGTTTGATAGTCATTTCTTTTAGGTACGAGCTCTTTTTCCAAATGGTCTTCCAAAGATAGTATGCAAAGATTTATCACTTTATTATATTTATCAAATGATAACTTACAAATAGAAATTGAGATAAAATTTCATGAAGACTTAAACATTTTATTATTGATTTGTTTTACAATTAGAATTTACAAAAAATAGTATGGCTCCTGTTAAAAAATTTAGTTTAACTTATGTTAACAAAATTTAAATACAATTTAACTTATAAGTTTGGAATATAGTCGTACCATGTGTTTTCAGAATCGTCCCTTGTGGTCAATTTGGAAATTCAAAATTCTAGATCTACGCTGCACATAGCTTTACCTACACCACACGTAGGTCTACGATGCGTGTGGGTTTAGTTACGCCACACGTAGTCGTTGTTTACATGAAAACTCTAATTTCGAGGTTTAGGATGTAACACCCATAAAAATTGAGCCAAATTTAAACTTTTTAAAACATTTCAAAACTAATAATTGTTATAAATCTTGTTTTCAAAATAGTATAGCGTCAGAGTATCCCAAAAAACAAAATCATAAAAATGTGAGGAGCTGTACGATCACACATTCGCCTTCCCGCAATCATCTGATGTACCTGAAACCAAAACTGAAACTGTAAACCCGAAGCTTAGTGAGTTCCCCCAAAATACTAATACATAAAAAATAGCACACATAATAACAACATGTAATGGGTCCAAATCTCTACAGACTGGATTACCCCTGAGCCCACAGTATGAGTCTAGCTTGCCCTACAGGCCTACAACTCATATCTGGCTTGCTTCCTCAGTCCTTGGACTGTACGAAATGACTAGCCCTTAGTGCGAGTCTGGTATGCTCTCCTGGCCCTCAGCTCGCATCTGGAATGCTTAGGAGTCCTCAATATGAGTCTTGCATGCTCTCCCTGGCCCGCAGCTCATATTTGGCATACTTCAGGGTTTGTTGGTCACCGCACGGAGCAGTGCACCTCAACCCTACCCACACAACATGTCGACATATAATACTAACTATGCATATAGATAATCAGACCATATCACAGGTAGTCCTACAGATCTACCAACTATTACAACAACTAGCATGCATAACCACTCTCAGACTACCATAACATCTAGCATGCATAACCACTCTCAGACTACCATAACATCTAGCATGCAATACTAATTCATACCCGACATATCAACAACTACTAGGATATCAAATCCAATGGGTCGGCCTTGGTGCCTTAGACCCCTTAGTATAGTGAAGAGAACTCACCTCATAAATGTCGACTGAAGTGATAAGCTCAAACTCTCGAATCACAGCCACAAACTCCACCACCTATATTTACCATAAGACCACTTCCATAAATTTCCAATTTACTAAAATACCCCCAGAAGTCAAATTGGTCAACCCTTGGTCAAAGTCAAGTCAACGGTCAAGGTCAACAGTCCATGTTGACCCAACTCGTCGAGTGCAGCTTACTGACTCATCGAGTCCCTCCAGAACTCGAGAAATATTGAAAACCCCAGTTGACTCGCCGAGTTTCCTAACAACTCGTCGAGTCCATGCGTGTCCAATGTCGGGAAAACCCTAACTGACTCGTCGAGTCGTCTTACTGACTCGCCGAGTCCATGCAGAAACCAGTTTCCTGAAACCCTCTTTCGACTCGTCGAGTTGACTTATGCACTTGTCGAGTCCCTTCAGTCTTTTTCTCATATAGACGTTTTTAAGCCACCCTAAAGTCACAAAATGCAGATCTAACCTCCTAGGGCATGGTTTCCACGTAAAGTTGCAAACTTTACGGGCATGCATGGTACTATATGTCAAAACCAAGTGAAAGGGAAGGTTTAACCCAAAAGGAAGGACCTTAGCTTGTCAAATCTCATAACTTTATAGCTATAGGGACCAAGGGGAGTTCAGATCTGAAATTACAACTTCAGATCTTGCCCCAATACTCGAAGTGACTCCCAAATGTGCTAAAGATAACCCTAAACCCAAACATGAAGAGATTTAGCTAAGGATAAGTCAAGGTATCGACTTGATACCTTCAAAATGATGCCAAGATGAAGTAGAGTAAGATCCACGAGCTCCTCTCTGCCCCAAGCTTCTTATACTTTGCATCTCCTTCACAAAATGCACCAAAATCACTCTTTAAACCTCACAAACACTTAAGAACAAGGTAATATCAATTAGGGTTTCTCTCAGCCGTCAAGGGGGTGGTAAGGGACTGGGGGAAGGGATTTAAGGTCCTTTAAATAGGGTGCAAACCCTAAAAATTAGGGTTTCATCTCCCAGCTCCTACTCGTCGAGTCCGGGTCCTCCGAATCGTCGAGTAGATCCAACAATCCACGCGGGCTAACCTGCCTCTACACGACGAGTTGGTCCATAAATATGTCATAATATGCTTAAAACTTGTACTTGGGAGTCGGGGTGTTACATGGGCCCTATTTAATGATGTAACATCCCAAAAATTTCAGGCAAAATTTTTGCTTTTAAATCATTTCAAACATCCAATAATCATATCAAAACAACCGAAAGTGTATCATGGTGATAATAATAATATCAGAGTACAAATCCTAAAATCACATAGTGCGGAAAACATGGGCGGATGCGATGTGATCAAGATGGACCCTTCCCTTTTGAGTTGAAAGT